GAGAGAGAGAGAGAGAGAGAGAGAGAGAGAGAGAGAGTGCATTGCTAACGACACCAGAAATAGCTGATAACATGGCTAAAAAACAAAACAAAATCAAACAAATAACAAAACAAGGACCAAAAAACCCCCCAACCAAAACAAAACAAAAGCAAGAGTCGAGGGAAACAACAGTACAAGGAATATTTTATGATTATACCCAACAATACGCTCGTTCAAAAGAGAGATAACAGAATACAAAATATGGGCCAAAGGAAGCTGTTTTTCCATGTTTTTTTTGTCAGAAGCTACTGGTTCCATAGACCTGTACTCCTGGATTGCACACAATCATGGTCATCATGCTTCAATCTTATAAAAAATCTCTCTGTGAATCAGGGCACCGGGCTCCAATGTCAATGTAAGCCGTGTCATCGTCACTACGCTGAAATGAAGGGTGAAACACTAAGCTGTACGTCGTCGAGTGCGCATGACATTTTTCTCTCTCTCTTTATGTCTCTGTCTCTGTCTCTGTCTCTGTCTCTGTCTCTCTCTGTCTCTGTCTCTCTCCCTCCCTCTATAACCAAACAAATATATATACACACCACAATGAAAACAAACTTCTCCTATAGGTAGGGCAATACCCCTTCTTGTGTTGGTCAAGATTTATGGAAACCCCCAAAATCTGGGTTACCCTGCTTGTCCCTAAAAACGACCATTTAGTTGGCCAATATAAATGTCAGGATTTCACTGTCTTGATTTTCTTGCTTCTCAGGCAGCCATCTGCTTAACAAACTGTCTTTCTGAAAATCTGTGATGCCACATGTATATATTTACATTTTTATGCCATTATATTATCAATGATCATCAAGACAAAGTTTAATTCCTGCTCATCTGCATATCAATGGATTAATACATAATTTCATGAATAATATCGAATTTTTCACAAATATAGACAAACTCACCTTTGCTGGATGCCACTGTGCAGCCCCCTGTTTTTAAGGTTGGGTTATTGTGTTTCTCAAGGACATACCCTAGTGACCACCCACCTAATTACTGTGTCACTAACACGTGTTTGACATTATTGCGAGCCTGAGATCTCTGGAGCACCATACAACTGGTTTTGGGCTTTTATCCGTGCAGTTTTGAGTCTATACTGAACAGCAGATGTTCACATTTTTAAAAAGTGGAACTGGACCGAAGTGGCCGCTCAATTTTAGACAATTTTATAACAATACATTGTCATCGAAACTTACAATTTTACAAATCGTTATTCTCAAAATCATTGAAATTAGACCCCATCATGCTCTCGGGAATATTGAATACTACCTTCCTTTGAACTCTGATGTCTGAAGTTTAGGTAGTTTTTTTTTTACTAAAGATGACGCAAAGATTGGCTCCACCAGAATTTATATATTTAGTCGTTCCTGCTCTAACACTTCTAACAGCCACCTGTATGAGATATAATCTCTCATGAACAAATGGTCACTTTCCATTTTCTCCCTTACAAATTTTTTATATTATTATAATACTGTGTAAGATGTCCACTTGTAACATACCTGGTTACTTTTTTTCTTGACAATGGGTGGCTGTCTGAGACAGTTTCGACAGCATTATATAGATTTTTTATATTTATAATATATGAAATGATTCAATTCTCATGGTAGCAATATAAAGTATCTCAGTTTTTCTATAGGACCGTGTTGTTTCGTTGTATCCCTTTCAACCGGGGCTAGTCCTGACAGGCTGGCCCGAAGCCTGTCTCCTAAATAATTTTAAATTGTGTCTACTGGGAACTTTAAAAAGGCTGTGCCTGGGAAGAGCAGCTTTGATGTCATCGTTACTGGCGAACAGGGACTGGTAATCTTAGCGCAATCACAGTATCGAATACATCTAGACTAGGTATGTTACATTTTGTAATGATTTTTAATGCGTTTTTTTAATACTGTATTTATATTTAATATTCTATTGTATAATACATATATACAATTTTATGAAATAAGTAATGATTTGTAATAAACAGTATTTTTTATTATATAACATATACAGTGGAGTCCACTTAAAACAAAATATTCTGGATCGCTGGAGGTTTTTTGAATAGACAAAAAATGGGGATGTATTTTCTTTAAATTTACCACTACCTACAGGTTGAACGTGTTCGTTTTAAATGGACTCCATTGTGATGTGTCCTGATGGTTTCATCCTCTAGGTCCACATTTCAGAATTTGGGTTTTTGATACAGCTGAAAAGAGGTCAAAATTCCCTTTCATTTGACACCAATTTCTAATTAATACGATGATTTGTAACGAAAGGAAAGGCAGTTCAATATTGGAATGCTCCACTGCTGTCCCAGACAAAAAACTAAGATATTTGCAATCATGTATAATATATATATATATA